GCTCGAAACTGTTTAATATACTAGGTATTATTGCAAGTTTTTATGGTAGTGGTTTGGGCCTGTTTGGCTATTTAAGTGTGGTTTTAGGTCTATGTGATGGTGATTCAGGTCTTCTGGTTGTTCTAGTGCTGTTTTAGGTCTGTATGCCCGTGTGTCAGGTCTGTTAGGTAGTTCTGGTACTGTTTTGGGTAAGATAGTAGGTTCAAGTTCCTGAATTAGCCATTCTGTAGCTCCATAGTTCTCCCCCTGAATGGGTAATTTATGGTAGTAGGCATCTTCCTCATAGAAAACTATATTTTTAGTTATGTGAATTGTTTTGGTGATTGGGGAGTAGTATTATTATACCCTTTCTGTATCGGGGAATAACCTAGAAAAACGCATTTTTAGCTCTTGAGTCCAATTTTTCATTATTTCTGTACACAAAAACAACACAGTCAAAGATTTTGGGAGGTAGTTGATTTATGAGTGGAGAGTAGTTAGGGTAGCTTTCTAGTCATTGTTGAACCAGAGATTTATAGTTAAGGACGTTAGAGGGTATTCTATTTATGAGATACGCTAAGGTCAACATTACATCTCCCCAAAACAAGTTAGGAACGTTCTTTTCTAACATAATGGCTCTGGTTACTTCCAACAAGTGTCTATTCTTTCTTTTGGCTATCCCATTTTGTTGGAAAGTATAAATACAATAAGTTTGATGATGGATGCCTTGTTGTTTAGAAATTTCTTAAAAAACTTGCTTAGGTATTCCTTGGTATTATCACTTCTCTAAACTTTGATAGAAGTTTGAAACTGAGTTTTTATAAACACAAAATTGTTTTTTGAAAGTCTCAAATACTTCATATTTTTCTTTAAGTAGGAAGACCCACGTCATTCGAGTATAATCGTCAATAAACATAACAAACCAACGGTATTAGAGAGAGTTTTTGTGTGGCTGGACCTCAAATATCGCTATGGATGAGTGTAAAGGAGCGGTGGGCTTGTAAGATTGTTTTGAATAAGTGCTTCATGTTTGCTTAACTAACTGACAAGTATCATAGCTGACAGAAAAATTGTTTTCTTTATTGAATAGATATGGATACAAATGCTTCATATAGTTAAAGTGAGGGTGGCCTAACTTATGGTCCCAAAATAAGTTATTATGCATATTGAAATAGTATAGTCCATCCCACTCTTTAGCTTTGCTAATCATCCTCCCCGAGGCTAGATCCTGAAAAATGCAGCCAAAGTCATAAAAAAGGACTTGATAGACCTGATTTTTGGTTAGTTTGCTTACTGAAATGAGGTTACAGGGAAGTTCAGGTACAAATAACACATTATGTATGATTAGGTGTTTAGATAACTTAACTACTCCAAGACCACACACACGTGACACGTCCACTAATGCCATTTGCTACCATAACCTTTAGGTTTTCATGACAATGCTTGATAGTTGTAAAGAGGGATTTGTTACCAGTCATATGATCTAAGACTCTATAATCAACAATCTATACATCATCACTAGTCACCATAGCATTTAGGGCAATTATAGAGTTACCTCATTTTACTAAGTTGATATTAGAAGTGCTTATTTGTTTGTCCAGAATTTTCCTCAACAATTGTACCTCTTTTGGGCTTAGCTTTTCTTCTTCTTCTTCCTTCTTTTCTGCATGATAGCTTTTCCTTTCTCTTCTTGATTTATTGTTCAGATTTGGTAGCTTCCCATGTAATTTCTAGTAAATCTCTCTAGCATGACCCTTTTACCACAGTGATCACACCATTTTTCATTTTTTTCTTTTCAGTTCTATTGTATTTGTATCCCTAATCACCAGTGCTAAGGCCTTATTTTGTGCTACTAGAATCTGTGTGAGTTGTTTTATGCTTTCTTCACATTTCACCATGTTAAAGCTTTCAAAAAGTGATGGCAATGGTTTTAAACCCATGATCCTGCATCCAACATCATCAAAGGTGTCATTTTATCCCAATAAGAACTCATAAGTTCTTTCTGTTTCAATAAGTTTTCTAAAGTACTGAGCATTATCCACACACTTCCATGAGTAAATTTCAAACCAATCCAATTGTTGCCAAATTCCCATCAAGGCACTATAGTTTTGGGTTACAGTCATTGTACCTTGCTTGAGTTCCCGAAGCTGTTTCTTTAGGTGGTACAGTGTGACTGTATTATCTATTGAGGAGTAAGTCTGTTTGGCAGCGTCCCATATCTCCTTTGCTATTTGTGCGAGTAGATACCCCTTACCAACCTCAAGAGTCATTGAATTGCATAATCAAGTCATGACCTGGTTGTTTTCTGCAAACCAGGTGTCAAACATCGCATCACCCGGCATGGGTTGTGGAGCTTGGCCATTGATGTATTTTTCCTTGCGTCTGCCTTGGAGGTACATCAGAATGCTCTGTGACCACTGGAGATAGTTACTACCATTCAGTTTGTGTGTTGTGACCAGTTGTGGACTTTTGGTCATCGAGGTAACCTCTGGTGCCATAATCGAGCTACTAGAGCTCTGGGTATTTCTAGAATTTGACGCATTAGAGGGAGTCGATGTGGTCGACTCACTTACAATGGTTGAACTAGCCATTAGGGCTATCGAGTTCGGCCCTCTATTTGTTGGTTCTGCCGTAGAGACCCAAATAGATGTGGGAATTGATCGCTATTCATTTTCCTCTTTTCTGGTGCTCTGATACCATATTGAAAAAGGGAAATGTATTTTTGAATTCTGTGTGTATTTCTGAATGTAGAAGCGTACATATATATGAATTAGATTTCCTTTTCAGATAGCTAGAAATCTAATCTCATTAAATATGATTGATTACATTTGATCTGCCACACTTATTGACTAAGATTCTAGGTACTAGAAAAGGAAAGGGTAGAAGATATGGGGATATAATTGCAATGGCTAGTAGATAGGTCTTTGATTCTAACAAGAAGCTTTGCAGAATCACATAAATTTTTTTCTAACCTCCTATTGGCTATTGCCGAGGAAGCAATCCCATTCAAAATATTATTAGGTATTAAATGTGAACAATTTTCAATAAAAATTCAAACATTAGTTTACTATGTTGTGAGAGAATTTTCTGCTAGACCCAAACCCTATTAGTATCATATAGTTTATCTATACACAATTATTGTTGCTGATGAGAAATATATTGAAAAAAATTCAGAAGGAAAGATATTTGAGGAATTTGTTTAACAACCATTGACTTTCCATAACAATCTTCCAAATATATCCTTGTTTACTTGTTTATTTGTCAATGAATATGACTATATCATCAATATTCAAATACATAATAATTTTTCCCTTTCTTTCGATCATAATTAGCTCAAATTTATATAAGCATAGCATAAGCATCCTTACTAGACATGTTTGATAGCACCTAGTCTATCCGTGTGATTATATTATTACACTGGTTGTTAATTTAGTACCACTCTAGTCCTAAATGTAAGTCACTCCCGCTACTACAAAAAAGATATTTAATGACGGTTAAAATGAGTTTTCATGACGGTTTTATGAGTGACATTTATGCTATTGACATAAAATATAAAGGATTTCACAGTGGTTGAAGAACCGCCGTGGTATGTGACTTTTCACGTTGGTTATATAAATAATCGCCATGAAAAGTCACATCAACAACCATGAAATTTTTTTTTTAATTTACTTTCATCCTATTAATCAGGATGGAACAGAAGAACAAAGCCACAAAAGAAGGGTTTGAAAATCAATTAACCAATAACTTCTTACTAGTTAAAAGCATTCTAATAAAGCAAACATAGATTCTTTTCACTGTAATAATGCCATTTTGCTTCACCTTCTACTACTAGATCAAAGCTATTAAGATTTAATAAAAATAAAATCAAAAACTCATATTTGATAAAATTCATGAATTTCCTGTCAAACCACAAAAACTATGAAACCCATGAAAAGAATGAAGGAGAAAGTGTGAAAAACTCACAAATAAGAATGAACAAGATGAGGCAACGTCAACAGTGACAGTGATGGCAACAACGACGTGACGGTGATGGAAGAACATGGCGGAGATGATAGAAGCAAAGGATAAAGGCCAACAAAGGTAGGAGGAGGGAGAAAATCGAGTGAGGAGGTAATGAGGAACTATAAACTGTGACTCTGAAAAGTGAAAAACTATCATGCGATGGATAGGGTTTTAAAATTTTGATATACTTTTTAAGGCGGTTATTTGTTAAAAGTATTTTTTTACGGCGGTTATTTAAAAAACCGTCGTGAAAAATAAAATTTCCTTCTCTATAATTACAAAAATACCACCGTCATGTTTTTTATAGTGTTTTTTCTAATAACCCCTATAAATTAGCATTATGAAAGCTCTTTTTTGTAACAGTGTTCTAAGAAAAGTTTTAATCCTTAATATAAGTCATTTGTAATATATTTAGTGCCTATTTTTCAATTTCACCTTATTTAATTCTCATTGAAAAGAGAGAAATAAAAGAGTGATAGGAGTCCCAAAGATATGAGACTAATGTATAGATACAAAGAAGGAAACTTTAACAAGGGAATAAAACTAAATTTTTTTTTCATTTAATGCATATTATGGTATATGAGAATATGTTGCAAGTAACTTATATTAAGTATTATCAGAGTAGTAATTATCATAATAATCATTCACATACTTCGAACCATTTAAGTTAGCTCATATGATATGCTCATGCTGGCGAAAGAGAAAACACACATATGGTAAGAATAACTGATCGGTGTCAATAATAAAAATTCAAATCCTTGTTTCATAAAAGGAGAAAAAAGATTATGCTAATCTCATTTATTAAAACTTAATTGGGTATTATTAATTAACACAAAACAAAACACCGTTGACTCCGAACAAACAAATCAACAATATCTGTATGATGAGAAAGGCTATATTTAAGAGATCTCACGCAATTAAACATACAGATCTTAGATCTAATTAACAAAGTAGCAAATTAAGAATGTTACAAACCTTAAGAAGCAATAATAATCATGAAGAAGAAGAATGAATGTGCATGCAAGAAAGAAAATGAAGACGGATCAAGCATCATCAGCCAAGTAGTATTGAAGGAGCTGGTAGCATTCAGGCAAAGGCACGTCCTTGTAGCATCCCAAAGCATTGGCATAGTGAAGATCATTGACGACGCCATTCTCAGTACGAGTGAGCACGATGCTGGCTTTGCTTCGTCCTGGATCTGGCACTTTGCAATCTGCAACCGGACTGCTCACAAACAATATCTCACATAAATGATCCCCATGATCATGCTCAACCTGTATGCTGTAAGTTCCTGTAGAATCTGTCACCCCTTCTTTTCTGTATTCCACCGCCAAGCTCTCCCTGTCTTTGCACTCAACTCTCACCTTCGCCCCTACCAGTTCACAAAACAACAGAAATTACTGTAGGATTATTGGATTGCTGAGTAAGAGACGAGCGATATAAGATAACTGATATATATATATAATATATATATATATATAGAGTTTGTTGTTACCTGCAATGTAAGTGGTGACATGGTCTCGAAGCCGGCACGGCAGGTGTCACAGTAGACGCGACCCTTGACGCGGAAAGGGCCGTGATGTGAAGTGGAAAAGGGAAGGACGATGCAGAGACAGAGGGCCACCAAGAAGAAAGCTTTATGGCCATTATTAATTGCCAGTGAGATCTTTGATGGAGGGAAGAAGAAGAAGGGGCTGTGGGATTGTTATATAGTTGTGGAAGTTTGAACTGTGATATTTAAGTGTTATGTATATTTAGCAGCATATGATCCTTCCACTACTTGCGCCTATAAAGTGAAGTCGTGTCTCAAGCTTTCTCAACTTGCATCGCTGCATTCACATGCTTCTTCGGCCTCCACTTGGTACTTCTTTTGTATTATTACTCTTTTAAAGCGTTTGGATGTAAGATAAAAAATTGGGTCAATTGATGAGCAGATCCATTGGGAGAGGAAGGGGTTGACTTTATTAGCACTTCTCCTGAGAATAAATTGGGCAGAATATTGATGTCATGGATCCCAAGAAATCCATCTCTGCTATATTAAAGAAGAATTACAGCCACACAAACATGTGCTGGCTATTTGTGCTAAGCATGGAAACTTCAAGAGTGCTTGTTTGTTACGTTGTTTTTACAACGTAATCTGCAGAACAATTTGAAGGTTGAACTGCATATTAAATATCAAATAATAATCTGTAATATTCATCCTCTCAACTGCTACTTCTATAAAGCTACGCGTACTAACTAAAACTTCCATTATTTTGATTGTGTTTAGACTACTCGTGGAAAAATATAACAGCTTTAAATTTCAGCATTGTCCTCAGTTGCCGGATATTGAGACTGCCCGATAAGCCCAACATAACCTGTCCGAACTCCCAAGTATGTTGGATCGAAACGGACAAAAAAGCCCAAAATCAGGCCTATTGATTTATCATGCAGTCAGCCCCCGCTCTGAACTCTTGCTTGGAACCAAATCCCCGGAAAAAAAACCAAAAAAAATCTTGTGGCTTCTTAATTAATTCCATATTCAGTCAACGGGAGTTAGATCTAACAAAAAAATAAAT